GGTGGTTGGACACCCCCAGGGCCGACTCCTCAGGACGCGGGGGTTCTGGTGGTTGGACACCCCCAGGGCCGACTCCTCAGGACGCGGGGGTTCGGGTGGTTGGACACCCCCAGGGCTGACTTCAAGGGCGCGGGGGTTCGGACACTGGACCCCAGGGCCGACTCCGAGGGCAGGGTTCCAGGCTAGAGACACGCTGCGCCACCGGAAGTCGCGGGGAGAATGGAGGAGAAGGGAGAAGCCTGGCGGCGATTTCTCATTTTCCTTCTAGCTCGGTCTCTCTCCAGCAAGCCCATGCACCCTCTAGCAAAACGAAAAAGAGAGAAAGTATTTAGCATAAGAGGGCGATCAATGTCTAGAGGTCATAGGGCACCCCAGAAGGCCCGGGGCCGGCTGCCTTCAGGGTCATCCATGCCAGTTTGCGAAGCCGTTTTGGGTGGAACACATGCTAACCGGAAGCGTCTCCGTTAGGGGTTAGGGAGACTTGGAGCCAGGAGTGCAGGTGTGGGCCCTGGGTACCTCTTAAACGATGACCACGCCAAGAGACCAGTAATCCCACTGCCCACAACTCTGCTTTTTTTCAGGGGTGAGGACTTCGCAGTCGCTGTCAGCTCTTACCTCTTAAACTGCCTAGTGTAAATGTCTGCCTAGAACGGAGGATTTCTGTGCAATCTGCATACCTTAGGTGGGTTTCCTGGGAGGTCAGTAGTAAGTTACTGGAAGAAGCTCCAATGTGTAGTTGTTTCAGAGACTGTCAACTAAGCAGCTGTGGCCTGGGCCTGGCAGGTGGCCATGGTGGTTAGGGCGTGGGACTCCCACATGATCCATTGTGGTTCGACCCCCGGAAAAAAGAATTATTTTATTTTATTTTATTTACTTATTTTTAATTTGACAGACACACACACACACATTATTTTATTTTATTTTATTTACTTATTTTTAATTTGACAGACACAGACACACACACACACACACACACACACACACACACACACAGACAGAGACAGAGAAAGAGAAAGAAAGTGAGAAAGCAAGCTGCCAGGTCTGGGACTAAAATTGTAGTCAGCCATGTGGGAGTCCAGCACCCCTAACTACCAGGACACCTGCCAGCCCCTACATACACACATTCTGATTGTCTAACAAAATCAGAAGCTGTACCGGGCAGGGTGTTTTTGTTGTTCTTATTTTTTAAACTTTTTGCCACAGGGTATTTGCATTCTCCCAGAGAGACAAAGAGAGGGAAGGTGAAAAATCATCCCCCAGGAGGACAGCCAGCCCACAATTCCTTTTCCATTTCCCTTCTCAGGATTTTGGGCATGCACATGCACCTGGCGTGATTTTCAGACCACTGGGCCCAGGACTCAAGCCTTGTTGGCTATGTGGATGTCTAGCACTTAAGCCACCATGACACCTGCTGGCCCCAGGAAATGAATTTTAACTCTCAGAGTTCTTTTCAGCCTCTGCAGTGGGTTGATAGTAGGTGCTTTGATTGTCCTGATGAAAATACAGAATTTTTTTTTAAAGTCAACTTTATACTTTTTTGGGTTTAATATTAAGGGATCTCTAGTTACAACTTATTTCCTTAAGAAATACCTCTCATAGGGACCAGCAGATGGTGTAGCAGTTACATCACTGGACTCCCCCATGATCAGCTATGGTTCAAATCCCAATTCCAGTGACTTGAAACTCATTCCGGGTGTGTGTGCATGCCCAAGATCCTGAGAAGAGGACAGAAGGGATTGGGGAATGGCCATCCCCTCCCCTACCACCCCGTGGTGATTTCTCACTTTCCCTTTCATTGTCTCTGTCTCTCTCTCTCTCTCGCCCCATGAGCACACATGCCCTCAGCAAAAACCTCTACAAAAAAAGAAAAAGAAAAATCCTCTCATAATTAGCAGGTAATACAATCAGGCAGTTTCATGGGAAGGAAACGCCTCGTCAGCACAACCTGTGGCCCTTCTGGTTTTCTTCATCCCTGTGCTGTGAAATCACTGCTGAGTACCCAGGCTACCAAATTTTGCATAGTGGTTGCTTTTTTTTTTCACCTAGTGTTTTATTTTATTTAATTATTTTATTTTTTTGGAGAGGTTATTGCTATAGGGCACGTGCGCTCATCAGACAGACAGAGACAGACAGAAAGTGAGAAATCACCCCCCAGGGGGGATGGCCATACTGCAATCCCTTCTCCATTCTCCTCTCGGGATCATGGGCATGCACACACGCGCCCGGCCTGAGTTTAAGCCACCAGGTCTGGGACTCGAACCATGGTCGACTATGTGGGAGTCCAGCAATATAGCCATTACGCTAACTGCTGATCCCTTTCACCTAGTGTTTTAAAATTCACTTTTATTGATCATTTCTCAAACAAGTGTGTCAAGTCAGAATTAGATTTAGTATATGGGATAAACCATGTGATCTAAACTTGTCTAAACTGGTTAAGAAGTAGGAAAGAGAACAGAAAGTTTATGATTCACTAATCTGTTCTGTTGCAATCCTAAATCCACCAAAAAAAAAA